TATAGTGGCTGGAACCCCCCCCCCTTGCAACCAAGGGTTGGGAGGGTCTGTTGGAGTCTCCTAGGGGTACCCACTCTCCAAGTCCCGGGAATTGGATTGAAAGAAAAGGACGTTCCAAGGCCCAACTCACCTTCTCGGGATACACCCAAGCCTCTAACCTGATCTACCGCTCATTGTTACCGTGGTCCCTAATAACTAAGACACGGCTCCTCTGAGGGATGGTTTCGACATGACATTGCTTTCCCGTATACTTGGTCGTCCTGAAAAGGACAATGAGGATCTTTAACGTCCGCACCTGGCACATAGACCTTATCGGACGTTTTGATTATCAAGATGAGAGCTGACGCACGTCCGCCCAGCCCCGAGGGGCCAAGACAAACCTCGCTTTCCGCTTGCCCGTTCCCAGTGGTCGGGTCCGCATTAAGCATCGTACCGTAGGACACGTGCCAAGGCCGAAATACATCAGCCTGGTTTCCCGCCCACTCCCTAGATAGAGAAGACCACTCTATCTCTCAGAGTATTGAGTCTTCCCAGCGTAGAAACTACCGGATTCGCTCCGGCCGCGGTTTCGTTTAAAGTGGAATTGCTAACCACCCCCTAGAGGAGACTGCCTACGGTAAAAGCCGCCAGTCGTGTAGCAGCAACCGATTCAGTACCCATTCCCATCCGCCACTTCTTACGCCTTCGAGGGACTCCGTCAGCGTAGTCTGAGCGTCCTCAACGCTATACGCTTCGATGGTCCGATCCTTCGTATCCCGTGAGGCCGGGTTAATAACGATGGTCATACACGAGTCTCGGGCGAAGGTCACAGATAGAAGAACAGCCTCTTTTCTAAGTACCCGCCAGAGGCCTCGCCACGAATAACTACAAGTCCATTCCCAATGTAGCAGGGGCTGAACCTAGGAACATTTCTGCTACCCCTTAGTAGAGATGGTTGTTCACCCTCCACCGTCTATGCAGACAGGATCTGGTACCCTAACCCCGTGTGCCTCTGATTTCGTCATGACAGGCGCGTTGTGAATTTTGGCTGATCCAGTGAGCAATCTTTCTGTGTAGAAGATTTTCTGAATTTCGTCCCATTGTGCATAAGTTCGCCGTATCTTCAAACTCCTGAATCTATTGCGTCATGTTCTTGGTTTCGTCGTCTCCGGAAAAAGAGTCCAAGGAGTTTTCCACATCCTTTAAAGTAATTAAACAGAGAAAACTAACATTTTTTGGGTGATAAGTCTCGTCCACCATTTCTTTGCCTTCGTCGACTACTCGCGAAGTTGGTGTGTATGATGGTTTCTGCTCCAGCTCTGGGTCTGCCTCCTCGTCGTTTCCGTCGCGCAATGTGGTCTTCTGTTTTGCGCACTTAAAATTTTATTATTTATTTATTTATTAACAGTTTATTTATTTTGAGTTGCTATTTTTTACTTATTTAAAATATATGTTAATATAAAACTAGCGGCAGCTCGCGCCTGCTTGCTTTTTGCGAGGGGTTGAGCGTGCAATGTAAGAAAAGGGAGCGGTCCGGGGGTTGGCGAACGAAGAGAGTGGCGGAGCCCTTAGTTTTGTTTAAAAATCTCGACTTAATAGAAAAATCATATTTTTATGTATAATTTTTAATTGTAAGTGTAATTAAGTTTCATATGGTCTTCCAAGAGACCAATTATATATAAAATGTACAGGAATTTTATTTTACGTATATGTATATATATCTTATATATCTTTAGTTTTTTCATGCTTTAAGGAAAGGGTTAATTTGAAATTAAAAAGGGTTCATTTGAAGTAAACAATGATTAATTTGAAGTTAAAAAGAATAATTTGAAGTTAAAAATGGTTAATTTGAAATTTTAAAAAAATATTCTTTTGAAGTTAAAAAGGGTTAATTTGAAATTAAAACAAAAATTTAAAAAATGTTAATTTGAAGTTAAAAAGGTTTAATTTGACATTAAAAAAATAAAAAACCGTTAATTTGAAGTTAAAAAGGGCTAATTTGAAATTAAAGGAAAAATTAAAAAATGTTAATTTGAAGTTAAGTTATTAGTCCGAAAAAAAGCTACAAAAAATTTGACATTATTTTCAGCTCATTGTTTATTTATTAAACAGTCATGGCAATCGTATAATGGTCGGTGGCAATGTTATCTTCCATTATATAAACAATTATTGATATGCCCATGTGATTGATGGTATCGATATACATGAAACTGTACAGCGAGAATAGGCGGACCAATTATTGATCAGGGACGATCAAACTGCGGATAAACACGTGGGTTCGTGTTATAGAATGTTAACAAAAACAAACATGCGAAATGTATTTATATGTTATTTACAACGCAGCTTATTTCTTAGCACTGTTTGCCTGCCCATTTCATATTAACTGTTTATTTTCGTGGCTTCAACACAATATTTGCCTCATCAATATATTATCTCCACCTGAAAACAGGCCATGCTGTTTAAAGATAACGGGACCAGCAATAATAACGATAAACTTGCAAAAAAATACAGTATGTAATGCACAACGCCATTGATGAATAATGACCTGATTATCTATTTACACATCTTGAGATAAAATTTAGAAATGTAGGACGTACAAGTCTGAAATGGACAAGATATAGTTGATAAAAGTTAGACGACAGCTTGCTTATAGGATCTACGAACTGAAATTGTCAACTGTGAACTGTAGGGACAGTCGAAAATTATGTTACTAGGTAAATTATATTCACATGCTTTAAACGATTTTGTTGGTATTTTGTTCGTCATTACTTTGGCAACTAGAGTCTTTTTGAGGTTGAGATAAATAAACCGGATTTAAATAAAATTTGGTACATCAGGCATCACTGGTGTCTTGATCAACAATAATTTTCTAGCTTAACAATTAGTAGATCAAAACGACTAGTTTTTCTGTTGAATACTATATTTCGTGAACATATACTAGTTTGATTATTAAATCCATTACAGTTCGTGGTCCGATTGACCAATAACTTTTTTCAATTAATTAATCTTTATGAAAGTATTGGGTGAAATAAAAAAGTCAGTGTCAGGAGCGGGATTCGAACCCACGGCTGTATACTACGGCTAATACGCCGCTGCTCTACCACTTGAGCTATCGTGACTTCGATCCGCTCGGACACTAACTTCTCATCACAACCAATACCTTTCTTATAAAGACTATATTTTGTGCTAGCGGTTAACTTCTTTTTCAAACTTTTCATAGAAATTAAAAATGCCTAAAGTTACTTTTTTCCTATCGAATTCTTAACATGACCTTTGAGCACACAGCCAACCTTCATCGTCCATCTAATTACCAGCCGACATTAACAGACTTAGAAAGTTTTATTTTGATTTTCCGAGTAGGAAGAGTAAATAAAACAAAACAAATATGGAAAAGCAAATAGTAATTGAACACATTTTAGAAGGAAAAAACATCCAATAAACTTCAATTACATCGTTACAATAAAACACAGAAAAAGATATTTTTCGATTCCTGAAAGCATACGGGTAATCAAATAGAGCTTGAAACGTTAATTTATCAAGTAGCCACGTTTTGAGATCCCTTGACGTCAAATGGATTATAAAAAACAACTTCCATCTGCCAACAGGGCGGTTTATCTGACGCGCATCTATGTAAATAGATGTTAATGAGCTTGCGAAAAGCCGTTTTTCTACTGAAGCTCTGTTTATGTCCCGCTAATTCATTTCGGCATATATTAATACTGAGTTTTATCGTATCAATGAATTTATCAGCGCTGACGGTTGAGTACGTCTGTAGAAGCTTGTAAATCGAAACGATTTATTTATAATTGACTAATTATGTATAGATAAGATGAAAAGGATTCTTTAATTTCACCGATCAATAGGCTGAAGTCAAGTGGAGTCTTACAATAAAAGTGTATTGAAATAAATAAATTTTCAATAATCAGGCGTTCCACAAAAGGCGCATATTGGAATTGAATAATGTTCGTTCTATTTATTAATGAATTACGAACAGAAACACAGTTTATTTAATGCTGTTATAAATGAAGACTCAATTTTTTATTTATTTTTTAGAAATTAAAACGCCTGTGCTTGTATTGAACGAACATTAACATGTAGTTCGGTCGTTTCAGATAATTTTGGTCTGCCAGATGCTTTTCTGCTCATTGCGATATTCAATGGTGGATAAAGTGAAAACAGCGAGATTATGAAGATTAAAATGAGTTAGTTATGGCCGTTTAAGATTTCTGCCTATTTTATCTGTTTTTCTCTGTCGGACTCGTTTCGGCTTCTCAACATCCTCAGTGGTGAATACAGTAAAAACAGCGAGTTTAGTAATTTGAAAGTGTATTAATCCTAGCCTTTTCCGATCATTTTGGTCTGCCTATCCCCCTTTTTTTGTCAGAAGTGTTTCTGTTTTTTTCTGTCAGATTCGTTTCGGTTTCTCGCCATATTCAGCATGGGATAAAATAAAAACAACGAGGTTAGTACGATTAAAATGTGTTTGTTTGTTCGTTTCCGATCATTTTGGTCTGCTTATCCTCATTTTTTTGTTCTGTTAAACGTGTTTCGGCTTCTTCCATCTTCAGAGTTGGATGATTTAATAACAGCGAGGTTGAGAATATCAAAACGTGTTAATTTTAGTCTTTACGATAGTGTTAGTATGACTATCCTGTCTGTTTTGTTCTGTCAGACGCGACTCTGCTTCTCGCCATCCTTAGTTTCGGAAAAAGGTAAAAACAGCAAGGTTAGGAATACTGAAATGACCCGAAATTACCAAACTACAAGTTCATCGCGACCTCTTCACAAAATCTCGCAAATGTTAATTTTTTCGGGCAGATGTCAAATGATGGGAGAACAAAAATTTGAAATACCCTCAGTAAATTTTGCAATTCTTGTTAATTACATTTATCTTGAACCTGCGGTGCAAAAATAAGAAACCGTTTTTCGCGCTACACCATATAATAACAGGATGTTTGTGCTGAGTGGAGATGATTTTGTTTGTACGAGTTGATGGTCTGTTTAATTATTGTGAGAAATACCTTCGATGAGGAAGAAGTACAGCGATAGCGGAAACGCATCTTCTTTCGACTACGATTTTTTTCTTGAAGAAAGATCGTTTTTTCGACTGCTGTGAGGGCGGAGGAGGCAGTGGAGGCGGAGGCGTCTGGCTGGACGCTCGTTGAGACGGTTCCTCCTGCGTTGGAACGAAACTAAAAGCTTTCGGTTCACTATGTCCAAAATCGCACTTTTTTAGTCGAACACGCGTCACGGAAAATCCTCTTGCAAACTTCTTGCTGTGGACTTTGGCGAGCCATAGCACTAACGAGGCGAACGAGACGATTTGAACGATGTTGTGTATCAAATGGTCGTAAACGAGCAGATCGTCGGCAATGGTATATTCCGGATACTCGTCTACACTTTCTTTTGGCAACATTTCGCACACGGCACGGCTTTCCGCCTCTGTCCAAATCACCCGGACGGAATTGTTAAGAGAAACACCACCGTCTAAGTTGTACCACTCGTAGTGGATCGAATAGTTAAAACCGGGCTTCGTCAATGGATCCGCCGGCCCCATTCTTTCGACGGCTCACTGCAAAACTGGTTCAAACTCTATCCCTGTTCTAAATATAGTCTTCAACCCTTGGCAATGTGCCGATGTTTTAAGTTAAACAAACATTTTCACACTACCTCCACTTTTTCCTCTGGATCGGATCGAGCTAATCGTGCCAATCTCGGGAAAAACGAATCCTTCGGATTTAAACTAGTAGCCGACCTCCATTATAAGCCAACGCTCGTAAACAAATACGATTAACATACAGCACTTTTTACAAAATTAATTTATACATTATACATTAATGAATTTTTGATGTTTTTCTCTCGGTCACAACACTATGGCCAGCACTCCACCACAAACAAATGTTTTGAGAAGGCAGCCTGAGGCCTAACCGTAAGGTGCGTGATACTCGGGATGTGACAGCGTGGATAGAGCTTGAGCAGACCCTGTCAGACATTGGTAAAAACAACAAAATAACAAGGGCAGAAAGGTGGCCTGTTACCCCTTTTGCCTGGGGTAACAGGCCACCTTTCTGCCCTGAACCCTTTCAGGCGTACCAAACTGCCAAAATCATGGATCCGCCAGACAGCGGGTTTTTCTCTAATTCTTCGACACCAATTGAACTGCCGGCAAGGAAAGTAAAAAACCTAATGTAACATAGTCATAGACATTTAGTTGAAGGTCATAAAGCTCAGCTGCCTTTTGCACATCAATTTAAAAGAGTCACGTTGCATATTGTGATGTTGTGATTAATAAATGTTACTTCTTCCATCAGATAATGTGTTAAGAATAAGACCTCGGTTAAATGGGATTGCATTCCGAGACATGGTCATGCGAAAAAGTTCATTAAAGAACCACCGTATAAACCAACAGCACTACTAAACTTATTAGGACTAAACTGACAGAAGGACATTGCAGACTCTGGAAGCATATACATTGAGAGTGGCAAAAAATATGGCAACCCTTAATATTTTTAATTATCTCTCAGACAGTCCTCCATTGACAAGCCTGTGCAGATATTGCTAGTACGAAGAAGAAACAGCAGAACACGCCCTCTGTTGTGCGAAGGCAGCGGGCTTAGATCACTAATCCTAGGAGAGATAAAACCGGAAGGATCCACACGGAAGCCTTTAACAAAGCAACGATATCATCAGCATACAACAAGACCTACACGAATCCCACACTCAAGAGTCAGCGGAAGGTCGTCCAAGTACAAAGGAAACAATATCGGGCCAACAAACAACCCTGACGCACACCACACTGCACCTCGAAAGAAAAAATCGGGGAGGTCCGAAGCGTCAATGATACCAGTGTGTAAAGCTAAGCACATAAATACAAACGAAAAACGAGCCTACGAGATAAACTCAAAGTTTTCTGCCTAAATAACCTATAAATACTATAATCTACAAAGAGCCTTACGTTAAGGTGAGTTCCAGGATTAGAAGGAATTTCGAGTAACGAGGCAGCGGACAAAGAGAACCTTGGAAGAACAGCCCAAATCTTATGTATTTCCATAACTAATAAAACTATAATCTTGGATTGAAAAGAAGCCATGGGAGAAAGAGGAATTCCTTCCCAACAGAAAGGTTTTATAAATCCTAACAAGAGATTCTCCAGTACCACTTAAAAAACTGGCAATCAACAGAGGACCAATGTTCACTGTAGCAGTGGTTTATGTATGAGGAGACATAAACCAACCTAAATAGTAAGGAAAAAGCTGTAGTACCTTGGAAAGGAAGACAACGATACCACACCCACAAGAAGAGCCTAAAAAAAAAAAAATCAACATATGACCAATTTTGGCTGTGTCTGGAGGAGACAGATCTCTGACAATAGCAAGGGAAAGGCCGTAGTACATAGGAAAGCCTTTTTTTGAACTATAAAGATCTCGATATCATATCTAGGAATAACATATTAAAAAAACGACAAAATCTTAATCACTATTAAATTCACTAGTTTCGTGGTCCGCTTGACCAATTAATATCATACAATTAATTAAGGTTGAAAAATGGCAAAAAGGAGGGAAAATTCAAAAAGGTGTGGTTGAGATGGGAAGTTGGTGTCCGAGTGGATCGAGGTCACGATAGCTGAAGTGGTAGAGCAGCGGCGTATCAAGCCGAAGATCGTGGGTTCGAATCCCGCTCGTGCCATTGACTTTTTTATCTCAACTAAAAACCTTAATTATTTCTAAATTTCCCTTTTGTCTGTATAATTATGAGTTAACAATAGTAACTGTCAAATATTTCTTTAATATTATTGCCTGGATGTATAATTTTTTCCTGTTTATCTGCCTAAACGGATCCAGCCAAGAGTAGATTTTCTGACGGCAAGTCAGCATATTTGAAAGAAAAATCTTAGTCCAAATATACCTAGATTTCAGGTTCATTATACTTTTTTTATATTGTGGCAATTCCTTTTATACAGTAGACAATATTCACTTTTCAAAAGAAATTTTTAAAAAATTCAAGAAGACAGTTTTTATTTATTTCTTTAAAGGCTCAGATTCCTTGCGAAACAGGACACGCTACACAAACAAGAGGTTAATCCACAAAGTAAGAAAATACTCTACCCCCCCCCCCCCCGGTAGTTCACCATCAATCATCACCCGGGCAAAAAATAAATAAACTGGAACAAACCCTAATAAACAATTCGGGCAAAAATTGAATCTTTTTCCGTACTTCCACTTGACGCAAGCGGGCCATCTGTTGAACTATTGGGTTGTCCGGAAAATAATGCAGGATTTTGGTATTAAACAAAAAAAAAGAAACTAGTTACTTTAAAGCAATGTTCTTTAATCAAAATAATTTCCCATACTCTCAATACATTTCTCCCAACGTGTTGGTAACTTATTAATTCCGTCTGAGTAGAATTCAGAATTTTTAGAATTGATAAAGTCAATAAATGCATTTTCCAGTTCCGTTTGATTTTTGAATATTATGTGTTGTAAGTAGTGGTCCAGGTGTCTAAAAAAATGGTAGTCAGTAGGCGAGAGGTCCGGAGAGTAGGGTGGGTGAGGCAAAGTTTCATAGCCAAGCTCCAATAATTTTTGTGACGTTACACGTGACACATGTGGTCGAGCGTTGTCATGCAACAAAATGGGCCCTTTCCGATTGACCAAAGAGGGCTTCATTACTGCCAATTTCTGATGCATGGTATTAATTTGGTTACAGTATGATTCAGCATTGATGGTTTCGCCAGGATTTAAGAAGCTGTAGTGTATTAAACCAAATGAAGCCCACCATACCGTAACCATTACCTTTTTTTGATGAGTTGGGGGCTTTGGAGCTTCTCCTTTGTCGAGCCACTGTCCAGAACGTCTAGTGTTATCGTAGAGAATCCACTTTTCGTCACATGTAACAATTCTGGCCAGAAATGGGTCATTTTTGTTTCGACAAAGAAGTGATGCACAAACATCAAAGCGCTGATTTTTTGGCGATCGTTTAATGAGTGTGGAACCCAATTTTCGAGTTTTTTCACTTTTCCAATCGCCTTGAGGTGGTCAGCGACGGTCGTTTTACTGACTTTGAGTTGCTCTGCAAGTTCTCGAACAGTTGTTTTGGGGTTTTCTTCCACCACTGATCGCAGAACATCATCATTAAGAGAGGAAGGCCTTCCACGACCTTCTTCATCTTCAAGGCTGAAATCTCCCTCCCGAAATTTTTTAAACCACCTTTGCACAGTGCACTCATTAACACAACCCTCGCCCCAGACTTGGTTAATGTTTCTAGCCGTTTGGGCTCCGCTTCGGCCGAGTTTAAACTCGTAAAAGAAAATCGTACGAAATTCTCGCTTTGACATTATAAGAATGACTGAATTATTTCCAAGTAGCGGAATGCTACAGAGGTAAACAAACAATATCATTTGGAAGAGGATTAATAAGTGTTGTCATTCATACAAATGAGTAATCCTGTAAACGTAAACAGAATATTTTATATAGATTTTTTTTAATGAAAACTTAAAATCCTGCATTATTTTCCGGACAACCCAATAGAAAACAAGAATACAATTGTCCTTATTTACCACAGGCCTAAGATTGAGCGGATATTCCAAATTTAGACTTTCCCTATGCGTTTGAACTTTTTTTAGAACATGGTATTTTGAAAAAAAAAGGTAAACACGACGAGACGCAAATGATAATAGAACGTAGATTTTCTATGTCTACAATTTGAACGAGTATAAGTAAACACGTTTAAAAGGGAAAAACTTCTATTTGTTGAAATAACGTGGTAAAAAAAATAGTCCCTTTGGGTAAATGAGATCAATAATCCTCTTCGTGTTCGATTTTTCTTCGCTACTTTGAAATTTGGCATTGCATAGGTTCACCTGTTCTGGCATTATGCCTGGAGACATAGTCGATGTCCGGCTATCGCTTAAGCCAATTCAGCAACTTTAACTAACCATTAAACACAAGACTTCGCATGCAATATTATTTCTGCGAGGATTTCGATTTCCGGTTCTTTTTATTGATTCCCCTAACTTTTATACATGAACACGTGTCAGACAATAGTCTCCAAAAAATTATTGTCAAGTTTAAAGTCAGTGAATGATTTATGACTTTTTACTAGGTGTATTCAAATTTTGAGCCTGACACTCTGGAAAAAATCGCAAACCCAATATGTTTTTTGCTTCAATAGATTCGTGCCATACAGTTTTTTTCTGGGTGCGTTTTTCACTTTGCTTTTCCAGTAGATTAATCAGTTTTCAAGTATTTATTTTATTTTGTACTATTAACCGACACACCGGAGCAGGTGATACACACGGGTAGGCAGGGCTTAAAAAAGCAGGAAAAGGGTGAAAGTTTACTTAAGTCGTTTCGGATCATTTTTGTCTGCCTCGCAGTTTTGGCTTATGGGGTGAATTTCAGCTTCTCGCCATCTTCAGTTTCCAATAATAATTTGTTTCAAACCAACAGGGAATATGGCGGCGAGTCGAATCGCTGTGACAGACCAAAAGGTCCTAAAGCACCATAGGTTAACAGCACGCAGGGTTTACAATTTGTCCATGAAAGTGCAACGAAAACTCGGCAATAAAGTTTGGACTGGACCAGAATAACTGAC